GCGGGCAGGGGGGGGCGGTCCGCCCCCAGGCTCACCCGGATCTGGAAGTCGCGCCGCAGCGCCTTCTCCTTCTGCACCTTGTTCTTCTCATCTCGCCGGGCCTGGACACGCAGCTTCTGCTCGGCAAAGAGGCTGGCAAGGCTCTGGTCCAGGGCCATCATGGCCTCATCCCCAAGCTCTTCCTCATCCTCACTGTCCTCTCCACCCTGAGGGACAGGCCCAGCGGTCAGCCTGGCCTCGGGTGGGCACACAACACGGGGACACCTGAGCCCTCCCCGGCCCCCTGCTCACCAGTGCCTTCCCAGCCTGCAGCACGGTCATCAGCTGCTCCCGGAAGCCCTGGTCCACGTCCCCATCGCGCTCCTCCTCCTCGCTCTCCTCCCCCTCGCTCTCCTCTTCACTCTCTGAGCTTCTGTTGTCCTCGCCGTCCTCGCTCTTGTCCTGGGTGGTAGGGGCAGGCACGTCACACACCTCTCCGACTGTCCCACTCCCCGCCGCCCCCACCCGGCCCGCGCCGGCAGCACCTCTGCACCCTTCAGCCGCCGCTCATCAGAATCGTCCGTCACCACCACGTGGTCCTCATCCTCACTGGTCTCCGGGTTCAGCACCTGGGGAGGGGCCCAGCCGCTGACCCATCTGCGGCCCCCGCCCTCCTCTCCAGGCCCGGCCCAGCGTTGGCCAAAGGCCCCCATTTCCCAGAAGAAAACGGAGCCTAGGAGAGGTGGCCAGGCCAGGGAGACCAAGACCCTCCCATCGGCCGCAGGCTCCCAGCGGGGAGGTGGGGACACGGGAGGCTGGAGCGGCGACCCCGGTGCAGCTCGCTGCTCAGTGAGCCCACAGTCCCTTCTCAAAGGTCCGAACTCACATCCAGAATTAGCTGCAGGGCACGCGGGGTCAGCTGGGAGCAGATGTGGCCAAACACGCTCCGGGCCACCTGGCGCATGAGGTGGCTGGGCTGGGCCAACAGGGCCAGCAGGATCTCCACCAGCACCTCTACCCATGGGGGCTCCTGGGGGTCTGCAAGAAGGACGGGTTGAGCCCGGGCAGGGGACCACTGGCCCCGCTGCACCACTCCAGCCCCTCTCGTGACCAAGGACCCACCGATGGCCTTGGTGCGGCTCCGGCGGGGCTTCTCTCCCAGGCTCTTCCTGATGCAGGTCTGGATGTCGCCCAGCAGGTCACAGCTCTCTGCAGGGGACTGTGGGCAGGACAGGACACACACTGGGGCCAGGCCCTGTCCCCAGCCCTTCTAAGCCAGGTGAGGGGCTGGCCAAATGGGAGCAGTGGCATCAGAAGCCTTCAACACCCCAACCCCTGGCCCGTCACCCCTACAATCCAGAATGGAAGCCCCCAGCTGGACCCCAGGACACCCTGAGAGCTGAGGGTTTTTTTTTTTTTGAGATGGAGTCTCGCTCTATTGCCCAGGCTGGAGTGCAGTGGTGTGATCTCGGCTCACCACAACCTCCGCCTCCCGCGTTCAGGTCATTCTCCTGCCTCAGCCTCCCAAGTAGCTGGGATTACAGGCATGTGCCATCATGCCGTTAATTTCTGTATTTTGAGTAGAGACGGGGTTTCACCATGTTGGCCAGGTTGGTCTCAAACTCCTGACCTCGCAATCCACTCGCCTCTGCCTCCCAAAGTACTGGGATTACAGGTGTGAGCCACCACGCCTGGCTAGTTGAGGGCCTTTTTACACCTAATACGCAGTTACAAGATCCAAACGCCTGCAGGGGACAAGGCATCCATCTCCCGCTTTGACACTCAAGAGAGGCAGAGCCTGACAAGGATGGTCAGGGCCCCAGAGAAGCCAGCAAGCCCCAGCCCCCAGTTCATAATTCTAGATTATTCCCTCCATGCTTGGCTTGGCATGAGAGACCGAATTGAAAGTCATTAGTTTCAACTAACTATGTTGAACTCATCTGACTGGGGATAACCCTGGACTTGAGTGAGGAGGTGTGGTGTGTCCATGTGCATGTGCATGCGCAGGAGGCGCTCTTGAAAACTGTGTGATCTTTGGCACCTAAAAGACAGACTTGCCCCTCGTAATGCAGTGGGCAGCTTGAACATTCAGGCCAGGGTGGGACAAAGCCGCCCAAAGCCCTTGTCATTGCTCTCCGGCTCCCAGGCTGTGTGCCCAGGCAAGGCCCTGTCCTTCTCTGGGCTGCGCCTTTTTATTTTTTTCTAAGACGGAATCTTGCTCTGTCACCCAGGCTGGAGTGCAGTGGCGCCACCTCAGTTCACTGCAACCTCCGTCTCCCAGGTTCAAGCAATTCTCCCACCTCACCCTCCTAAGCAGCTGGGATTACAGGCACCTGCCACCATGCCTGGCTAATTTTTGTATTTTAGTAGAGATGGGGTTTCACTGTGTTGCCCAGGCTGGTCTCGAACTCCTGACCTCAAGTGGTCACCCGCCTCGGCCTCCCAAAGTGCTGGGATGACAGGTGTGAGCCACCGTGCCCGGCCAGAGCTGCACATTTTATCTAAAGGTCCAACACAGCAAACTGCAGCCTCCTCTGTCCAAGTCCAGTTCAGAGATCCCAAGGCTGGGGACAGGCTCCCCATGTGTCCCAGAATCACTAGGACTCTGCTGCTATCAAAGTCCTGATGCCAAGAATCAGAAGGGGCATCGTGGCCAACCTTTCCCCAAACAGCTCATCCACATGCTGGGCTCAGAATAACCAAAGCTCGCAAGTAAAACAACCACAGTCAAGTGGCCAGACGGGAGCAAGTGAGAGACCCACCTACTCAGGCTACAGAAGACACGAAGCAGCCCCGGGAAGGGCCTCCTATGTTATGAGAAGAAAACTCTCAAAAGAAATCAGGGTACTGAGCCTCGAAAGTGGTCAGGGCTTCTTGATGGGAAGAACCGAGAGGGAGACTCCGTGGTTCTAGAGAGCCCGTCGCCCGAAGGTGTTCCCACAGCTGCGGGTACAGCGCAAGCTACTTTGCCTCTGAGTCAGAGTCTCTGTTTCTCCACGTCAAGCATGGAGAGGAGGTGGCTGCCTCAAAGCTGTGGGGACTACGAGAGACCCCGCACGGAGAGCCGAGGACACCGGCTAGTGCCGCTAAATGGCCAGAGGGACGTTTCCACTGCGACGAGGCTGGCTTCAAACACCTCCCAACTTAACTCCCCCAGAGCCTCTCCTGGCCACCCCCACAGCCCTCAGGCCTCTCGGTAGGGGGCCCATTGCGCCACAGAACCCCAGGCTCACGGCCCCTCCCTCCCAGGCCCCGGTACCTTGAGGAGGTGGATGCCCACGAGGAGCAGAAGGTGCTGGAAGGCAGCAGCCCTGGCCTCGGAGGAGTGGGCCTCCAGCTCCTTCAGAGTCTGCAGCATCCTGTGGGAGACAGGCGGATTCCCAGGCCCCTGCGCCAGTCAGACTGCAGCGTCCTACCCGTCCCCTGGAAATCCCGCGTGCTCACCGGTCCCAGGCCTGGCGCTGCTGCGCACTGAAGGGTGTCACAGTGGTCACGTTGTGGCTGTGATTCAACAACAGGTCTGCGAACTGCACCAGGTGGTAGGTCCAGGGCTGCCCACCCCGAGTCTGCTCCGTGGCCTGCTTCAACTGAGTGCTGAGGGTCTGCAGCAGACTGGGCGAGGGGTGGGGCTTGGGGTCACCAGACCGGACAAGTGAATGTAGCCGCCTCCCTCCGCCCTCCCCAGGGCTCAGTCTCCCACCTCTACAGGACCTACTAGAACTCCCGGGACCTCTGCCGTTGTTCCCAGCTTGGGGGACCCGGAGGCAGCAGGCGTCCTCAAGGCCTTCCCACCCTCGGGCCTCTCCTGGGCTGCCCAAGACTCACCTGAAGAAGGCACTGCTGGCCGCCTCTCGGGCCTGGCTTTCCAAAGGGAAGGAGAACAGCTGCTTTGTCTCGGGGATCTGGGATGTGGGCTTCTTTGTGACAAAGAACGCGTGGAACAAACAAAACCTGGAGAGGGCGGGAGAGCGGCCATCACCATTCACTGCCATTGGTTTTACAGGCTCCCCTCCTTGGACGGCACCACCGAGCGTACCAGGCCAGGAGGAGGAGGGGGAGCCCTTCTGTTCTGGGTACAGTCCTCAGGGGCCTGACGGGCAAGGCTGGAGGTGGCTGGGCTGGGCTAGGATGGGAAGGGGCCGTTTCTTTGGTCTGGATCCCCAGCTGAACGCGGCTTAACCCGAGCTGGAGAGAGAGAATCAGTGCCCCTCCCAAGAAACCAAGAGCTGGGAGGCTGTGTGGTCATGGCCAAGTCACGTCGCTGCTCCCGCAGACATGGGGCTGGTGCAGCCCCCTCTTGCAACCGTGAATGTGGAGGGTGATTCGAGCACCCGGCTCTGCACAGGCACAGACGAGGCAGGTGTGGGCAGAGGCTTCCCTCACAGCTCCCACGTGCAAAAGCTGCCTGCAGGGCGTGCAGAGCACACCTGAACCTTTTAGGCCCCTGCAGCTGGGATGCCTCCTGGGCCCCTTCCCTTCACGGGTTCCCAAGGAATTCCCAAGTCCCCTTGCACCTGTTCCCCAATGATGACTCAACCCAAAGGCTTCTGGCTCCAGGGGATGCAAACTAGGACGAGTTAAGGGGCCCCATTCCTTGGCCACACGCCCTGGCTCGTACCTGGCCACCTGTGCAGTCAAGGCCTCCTCCATCTCCAGGTGCAGGCTGTCCACAATGCTCACCAGTCGAAAGATGATCCATTTCCTCAGCCGGAACACAGCTCGCTCAGGCCTAGCAGGGCAGGAGGTGAGGTCATGTGAGCCACTTAGAACTGGCAAAAACAGGCTGGGCCCAGTGGCTCACACCTGCAATCCCAGTACTTTGGGAGGCCAAGGCAGGTGGATCATTTGAGATCAGGAGTTCGAGACCAGCCTGGCCAACATGGTGAAACCCCATCTCCACTAAAAATAGAAAAATTAGCTGGGCGTGGTGGCAGGTGCCTGTAATCCCAGCTACAGGAGAGGCTGTGGCAGAGAATCGCTTGATCACTTGAACCTGAGAGGAAGAAATTGCAGTGAGCTGAGATCACCTGCCACTGCATACCAGCTTGGACCACACAGTGAGACTCTGTCTCAGAAGAACTGGCAAAAACAGGACTTTCCTTTGCCTGATCTCAGGAATCCAAGATCTCCCCATCCCAATCACCAGTGTGCGACCACACAAGCACACTGAGGCCTCACATGAGAGCTCAGGCCCTTCCCCTCTCTCCTCTCACGGTTTAGAGCCAGGACACTGTGGAGGGAGGGCTCGGGTTGCTGGGCTCTGCAGGCCTAGGAAGCTAACTCCTAAGTTAGGGGTCCTTCCCCAAGGTCCACTCACACGTGGAGCGACGCGTCCTGGGCTTTCTTCTGGTTGTTGGTGCTGAAGTCAACCAAGGAGTCCAGGTCTGGCTGGAGAAACATGTCCCGCAGCCAGGCCACATAGCCCCGCAGGGCCGGAGGGCTCAGGAACCGCACGACCCGCCAGAACGTAGGCGCAACAGGGAGGCCTTGGTTGGTGACGGATGAGAAGGCCACTAGCACGGCCAGCTGCCGCTCAGGGTCATCCTGGCACCCCTCTAGGAAGGTGCCCACGTAATCCTCCATCTCTGGGGCAAACTTGAACTGCTTTGGGAGCTGCAAGAAGTTAGGCATGGAGCTGAGCCCACCAGCCCAGGGGGCAGGCGGTCAATAACCCAACAATCCACCAGGCTTGCACCTGCTACGGGTTAAACCAAGGCCCGGAAACCTCGCGTCGTACACAGCTAGGCTGAGCCTGAACATGCAACAGTTTCGTCACCCCAGTGCTTCTGTCTGGCATCAAGGCCTCTCCGGGTCTGACTGCCCCAGCTTCACCACCTCCGGCCTCAGAAGGCCCCTCTTTCTGCCTTGCTGGATGGGGATGGTCTGTTTTCTGGCTCCATGCAGGGCAGGGTGGTAGTTGAGGCGAGACTGACCTGGGTTCAAAGCCCATGCTGCTAATTCCTAGCTGTGTCATCTTCAGGACCAAAAACCACCGCCTCTCATGCACTTCCTCAGCGCCAGGACCCACACCCCGCGTTTTTGTGTGGCAGCTTAGCATTTTAGCAACCCTTTGCAGTCGGCCAATATTATCATTGTGTAGGTGAATAAAGGGAGACACAAAAACACCTAGAAGGAACTTCTCAGGGTCAGAGGCTCCCAGTGGGTAATGTCTGGCTTCACGGCCCAAGCTGTTTTCCTTTTAATTTTTTAGAATTGTGTCCCCAGAGTGCGGTGCCACGATCATGGCTCACTGATCCTCCCACCTCAGCCTCCTGAGTAACTGGGACTCCAGGTGTGCACCACCGTCCAACCCAAACTCTTAACCACTGCCTGATACTTCAAGTCTGCCCCCTCACCCAGAATGACAGCTCTCTGAAACTCGTTGCAAAGATAAAATGAGCTGGTGAGAACAGTAAACCCAGCAGCACTTACTGGGCACCAGGCTCACTGGTGCCCAAACACGGTCATCACTGCAGCATGGGTTGGAGCGGTGGAGGTCTGAACAGCCCACTGGCTATCCACGCCCATGAGGGGCCTGCTGGCAGAAGGGCCTGACCTTACAAAACCGTCAGAGGGAAGCCGGGCACGGTGGCTCACGTAATCCCAGCAGTTTGGGAGGCCGAGGCGGGTGGATCACCTAAGGTCAGGAGTTCAAGACCAGCCTGGCCAACGTGGCAAAACCCCGTCTCTACCGAAAAGACAAAAATTAGCTGGGCGTGGTAGTGGGCACCTGTAATCGCAGCTACTCAGGAGGCTGAGTCAGGAGAATTGCTTGAACCTGGGAGGCGGAGGTTGCAGTGAGCCCAGATCACACCACTGTACTCCAGCCTGGCCGACAAGAGCGAAACTCCAACTCAAAAAATCAATTCTGTCTGAGGGGAAGGGGTTCAGGCAGCTCACTACCCAGACAGAGGGGACACCATGGCCAAGCCCCCGAGGTGCCCTGCTCCCCTTCTTGGCAGGGAGAGCTCCCTGTCGAGCCTTTCTGGCAGTGTCGAGCTGCACGGGCGTTACCCACCTTCGCAGTGCACACGTGCTCCCCATAATGGCGGATCACGTCTCCCCGCAACACCAGCTGCAGCTGCTCCTTGGTCAGCAGGGGCAGGGCGGCGCCCAGCAGGCGGAAACACAGATAGCTAAGGGGGTGCGGGACAGAGCCTGGTCAGAGCCAGGCGGGGACCCCTGGCGGGTCCCAAGGGACTCAGGACTGGTGGCCCAGCCCCACTTCACAGACAGGGAAGGGGGCCGAGAGAGGACACGACACGTGCCACAAGCACCTGGCTGGCCAGAACTGCATCTTCAGCAACCCTTGTTCCACCACCTCCTTCCAGAACCGTGGGAACTTGTCTTCCTTGAGCGCTAGGCGCAGCAGGTCCAGAGCAATGGCGGGCAGCTTGCGGTCCTTCTTCACGGAGGCGGCGGCCATCTTCAGCACGTTCACCAGCCTGCGGAGAGCAAGGGACTGAGGGAACACTCGCCTCACGGGCAAGGGCCAGGGTGCCAAGAGCAGCCGGGACACCCCCAGGCCACATGGCAAACCTGGGCCTGGCCAGATGCAGTCCCACAGCCCCAGGGAGGGCAAATCCGCCCACCTCCGTCACACCTGGGAACATTCTCATCCGAGAATAGGTTCACGGATCCCACCAGCTTCTTGAGCTTGGAGGGCACCTTCTGCTGGGCCAGGAGGAAGAGCTCCAGCTGTTCGGGGGAGCTGAGTATTGTATTCAAGTCGGCTTTAAGGACCTCTGGCAGGATCTCCTGCAATGTAGCCACTGAGACCTAAGGATGGAGAGATAAAGAAATGGTGGCTTCCTCTGCGGGGTGAGCCCGGTGGATCCTGCTCTACCTGCCAGGC